CAAAACAACACAGGTACACTGTTACAGACAAAACAACACAGGTACACTGTTACAGACAAAACAACACAGGTACACTGTTACAGACAAAACAACACAGGTACACTGTTACAGACAAAACAACACAGGTACACTGTTACAGACAAAACAACACAGGTACACTGTTACAGACAAAACAACACAGGTACACTGTACACTGTTACAGACAAAACAACACAGGTACACTGTTACAGACAAAACAACACCGCTACACTGTTACAGACAAAACAACACAGGTACACTGTTACAGACAAAACAACACAGGTACACTGTTACAGACAAAACAACACAGGTACACTGTTACAGACAAAACAACACAGGTACACTGTTACAGACAAAACAACACAGGTACACTCCTACAGACAAAACAACACAGGTACACTCCTACAGACAAAACAACACAGGTACACTGTTACAGACAAAACAGCACAGGTACACTGTTACAGACAAAACAGCACAGGTACACTCCTACAGACAAAACAACACAGGTACACACCTACAGACAAAACAACACAGGTACACTGTTACAGACAAAACAACACCGCTACAATGTTACAGACAAAACAGCACAGGTACACTCATACAGACCAAACAACACAGGTACACTCCCAGAGACAAAACAGCACAGGTACACTGATACAGACCAAACAACACAGGTACACTCCTACAGACAAAACAGCACAGGTACACTGCTACAGACAAAAGAACACAGGTACACTCCTACAAACAAAACAACACAGGTACACTCCTACAGACAAAACAGCACAGGTACACTGCTACAGACAAAACAACACAGGTACACTGTTACAGACAAAACAACACAGGTACACTGTTACAGACAAAACAACACAGGTACACTGTTACAGACAAAACAACACAGGTACACTGTTAGAGACAAAAGAACACAGGTACACTCCTACAAACAAAACAACACAGGTACACTCCTACAGACAAAACAGCACAGGTACACTGTTACAGACAAAACAACACAGGTACACTGTTACAGACAAAACAGCACAGGTACACTGTTAGAGACAAAACAACACAGGTACACTGTTACAGACAAAACAGCACAGGTACACTGTTAGAGACAAAACAACACAGGTACACTCCTACAGACAAAACAACACAGGTACACTGTTAGAGACAAAACAACACAGGTACACTCCTACAGACAAAACAACACAGGTACACTCCTAGAGACAAAACAGCACAGGTACACTGATACAGACCAAACAACACAGGTACACTCCTACAGACAAAACAACACAGGTACACTCCTACAGACAAAACAGCACAGGTACACTGCTACAGACAAAAGAACACAGGTACACTGTTACAGACAAAACAGCACAGGTACACTGATACAGACCAAACAACACAGGTACACTCCTACAGACAAAACAGCACAGGTACACTGTTAGAGACAAAAGAACACAGGTACACTCCTACAAACAAAACAACACAGGTACACTCCTACAGACAAAACAACACAGGTACACTGTTACAGACAAAACAACACCGCTACAATGTTACAGACAAAACAGCACAGGTACACTCCTACAGACAAAACAACACAGGTACACTCCCAGAGACAAAACAGCACAGGTACACTGATACAGACCAAACAACACAGGTACACTCCTACAGACAAAACAACACAGGTACACTCCTACAGACAAAACAGCACAGGTACACTGTTACAGACAAAACAGCACAGGTACACTGATACAGACCAAACAACACAGGTACACTCCTACAGACAAAACAGCACAGGTACACTGTTAGAGACAAAAGAACACAGGTACACTCCTACAAACAAAACAACACAGGTACACTCCTACAGACAAAACAACACAGGTACACTGTTACAGACAAAACAGCACAGGTACACTGTTACAGACAAAACAACACAGGTACACTCCCAGAGACAAAACAGCACAGGTACACTGATACAGACCAAACAACACAGGTACACTCCTACAGACAAAACAGCACAGGTACACTGCTACAGACAAAAGAACACAGGTACACTCCTACAAACAAAACAACACAGGTACACTCCTACAGACAAAACAGCACAGGTACACTGCTACAGACAAAACAACACAGGTACACTGTTACAGACAAAACAACACAGGTACACTGTTACAGACAAAACAACACAGGTACACTGTTACAGACAAAACAGCACAGGTACACTGTTAGAGACAAAAGAACACAGGTACACTCCTACAAACAAAACAACACAGGTACACTCCTACAGACAAAACAGCACAGGTACACTGTTACAGACAAAACAACACAGGTACACTGTTACAGACAAAACAGCACAGGTACACTGTTAGAGACAAAACAACACAGGTACACTGTTACAGACAAAACAGCACAGGTACACTGTTAGAGACAAAACAACACAGGTACACTCCTACAGACAAAACAACACAGGTACACTCCTAGAGACAAAACAACACAGGTACACTGCTACAGACAAAACAACACAGGTACACTCCTACAGACAAAACAACACAGATACACTGTTACAGACAAAACAACACAGGTACACTCCTACAGACAAAACAACACAGGTACACTCCTACAGACAAAACAACACAGGTACAATCCTACAGACAAAACAACACAGGTACACTGTTACAGACAAAACAACACAGATACACTGTTACAGACAAAACAACACAGGTACACTTTTACAGACAAAACAACACAGGAACACTGTTACAGACAAAACAACACAGGTACACTGTTACAGACAAAACAACACAGATACACTGATACAGACCAAACAACACAGGTACACTGTTACAGACAAAACAACACAGGTACACTGTTACAGACAAAACAACACAGATACACTGATACAGACCAAACAACACAGGTACACTGTTAGAGACAAAACAACACAGGTACACTCCTACAGACAAAACAACACAGATACACTGTTACAGACAAAACAACACAGGTACACTCCTACAGACAAAACAACACAGGTACACTGTTACAGACAAAACAACACAGGTACACTCCTACAAACAAAACAACACAGGTACACTGTTACAGACAAAACAGCACAGGTACACTGTTAGAGACAAAACAACACAGGTACACTCCTACAGACAAAACAACACAGGTACACTGTTAGAGACAAAACAACACAGGTACACTCCTAGAGACAAAACAGCACAGGTACACTCCTACAGACAAAACAACACAGGTACACTGTTAGAGACAAAACAACACAGGTACACTCCTACAAACAAAACAACACAGGTACACTGTTACAGACAAAACAGCACAGGTACACTGTTAGAGACAAAACAACACAGGTACACTCCTACAGACAAAACAACACAGGTACACTGTTAGAGACAAAACAACACACGTACACTCCTAGAGACAAAACAGCACAGGTACACTGATACAGACCAAACAACACAGGTACACTCCTACAGACAAAACAACACAGGTACACTCCTACAGACAAAACAGCACAGGTACACTGCTACAGACAAAAGAACACAGGTACACTCCTACAGACAAAACAACACAGATACACTGTTACAGACAAAACAACACAGGTACACTCCTACAGACAAAACAACACAGGTACACACCTACAGACAAAACAACACAGGTACAATCCTACAGAAAAAACAACACAGGTACACTGTTACTGACAAAACAACACAGATACATTGTTACAGACAAAACAACACAGATACATTGTTACAGACAAAACAACACTGGTACACTCCTACAGACAAAACAACACAGGTACACTGTTACAGACAAAACAACACAGATACACTGTTACAGACAAAACAACACAGGTACACTTTTACAGACAAAACAACACAGGAACACTGTTACAGACAAAACAACACAGGTACACTGTTACAGACAAAACAACACAGATACACTGATACAGACCAAACAACACAGGTACACTGTTAGAGACAAAACAACACAGGTACACTCCTACAGACAAAACAACACAGATACACTGTTACAGACAAAACAACACAGGTACACTCCTACAGACAAAACAACACAGATACACTGTTACAGACAAAACAACACAGGTACAATCCTACAGACAAAACAACACAGGTACACTGTTACAGACAAAACAACACAGATACATTGTTACAGACAAAACAACACAGATACATTGTTACAGACAAAACAACACTGGTACACTCCTACCGACAAAACAACACAGGTACACTGTTACAGACAAAACAACAGATACACTGTTACAGACAAAACAACACAGGTACACTCCTACAGACAAAACAACACAGGTACACTGTTAGAGACAAAACAACACAGGTACACTCCTACAGACAAAACAACACACGTACACTCCTAGAGACAAAACAGCACAGGTACACTGATACAGACCAAACAACACAGGTACACTCCTACAGACAAAACAACACAGGTACACTCCTACAGACAAAACAGCACAGGTACACTGCTACAGACAAAACAACACAGGTACACTCCTACAGACAAAACAACACAGATACACTGTTACAGACAAAACAACACAGGTACACTCCTACAGACAAAACAACACAGGTACACTCCTACAGACAAAACAACACAGGTACACTTTTACAGACAAAACAACACAGGAACACTGTTACAGACAAAACAACACAGGTACACTGTTAGAGACAAAACAACACAGATACACTGTTACAGACCAAACAACACAGGTACATTGTTACAGACAAAACAACACAGGTACACTGTTACAGACAAAACAACACAGGTACACTGATACAGACCAAACAACACAGGTACATTGTTACAGACAAAACAACACAGGTACACTGTTACAGACAAAACAACACAGGTACACTGCTGCACAAAGAATACTTTTACTGACAAAGCGAAGCTGATGATGCCAAAAATTGTAATGGTGAGTGGGAGCTCACCTTGAGGATTTTCTCTACCAGAGCTGGTGGTGCTGTTGATAGGTACGGTTGTGTCAGATGAAGAACTAACAATTGTTGTTAGGTCTGCAAATGAGAGTCAAATATTTCATCTTTCTTCCTCTAGAGCAACCTGTTATCATTCAAGAAAAACATCTGTGTTCATCCTCTAGAACAAAGTTCATTCTCTAGAACAAATTGTTCATCCTCTATAACAAACTGTTCATGTTCAGGAAAAAATGGTGAACAAATTCTGAACAGTTGTATGTAAAACTTCTACCAACTGCATGCAAACAAGACACACCATCAAAAATAAGTCACACTACTTTGGAGGTGAGTTATTGTAAAAACAAAGAAGACACACTACCATGGAGGTAAGTTATGGTAAAAACAAAGAAGACACACTACCATGGAGGTAAGTTATTATAAAAACAAAGGAAACACACTACCATGGAGGTAAGGTATGGTAAAAACAAAGAAGACACTACCATGGAGGTAAGTTATGGTAAAAACAAAGAAGACATTCTACAATGGAAGTGAGTTATTGTAAAAACACAGAAATGATGCAAGGATTCAGTGTTGGTAGCTATGACAACAAGACCTTGTTCTGGCACTATGACCTCCATACCTGGTGTTTCTGTCGTGCTGGTGGTGGTTGTTGTTGGCAGTGCCTCCACTGTTGTTTCCTGGGTGGTGGGCACTGGTGTTGTTACGGGTTTTGATGTTGTTGTGAGCCCTGGTGTTGATGGTAAGGTTCCATTATAACAAGTTAAACAACAGCTATCTAAATCTGCTTGGTTATAAAAACGACACATTCCTTGTTGACAACCAAGGGCTTTGTCGCCATACAAACAGCCTGAAAAATGTTAATGCATCTCAGCGTTACAACTTGCCACACTGTCAACCCTGACTACAAACAGCTTGTCTCTGTCCATCCACAGTCAAGATTTTTTGATGTTTAAAGAAGATGTTTTGAATAAAGAAGAATTATTTTGCAAAGTCTTTTTTACAAATGATGTTTTAAATTAAGAATCTTTTGTACATATTGATTAGAATGATGTTGTAAAATGGGTTTTGTGCAAAACAGTTAAGAGTGCATGTGTCTGGTGGAATAATGAGGTCACATGGCGCTTTGTATCTTTTAAAAGTTGACAGACCTGGAATGGCTGTGTAGAAGGTGAGACATGTTTGACAGCAAATGTTTGAGTTGTCTCCAACATAACACTGACTGCCTGTCACTCCTGTACAATTCGTTCGATCACCATATTCACAACCTAAACAAACGAAAAGTTTCTGTGGTACAAGTAAACATCGTTGGTGCCATGAGATAAACTTTGTAGATTGTTGAAGTCTTATTGTTGTAATACTTAATGTGTTAAATAATTTTTAAAAGCTTAGGAAAACAAAATCCAGTTCCTATAATTGATGAAGCACATTTGGAATTTTCCCTGGATGCGATGAAAACATTGATGAATCCTTTGAGTGCTTCCGTAAATCATATCCTATGTAAAATAATGGAAATTGTAAATGCCAGCATTGAATTCTTGATGAAAAATTCCTGGAGAAAACTTCAAAGTCCTAGATGGATAGTTGGAAATCCCAGCAGAATTTCCTGAGATCGTTGGTGGAGAAATCATGTCCCAGAGAAAGTTTCAAAAGCTATTCAGGCCATTTAAGATTAGAATGCACAGCGAAGCAATTGCCTATTAAGTTTTATGAGGACGAAAAACATTTTAACTAATGAGCAAAGCTGTTGATTGATAGGTTATGATGATATCACAGAGGTCAACCTCCATCAAATCAAACCTCAACACAGGCATCAAATTGACGATAACAAATTACACATGAATTTCAAGCTAGCTGTAATTTCAATATTATTTATGTGCATACTTTTTAAAGCAAGCAATATCATAGCTACACTGTGTTTCTATATTTTATAGAACAGCATTTTAATTTAAATACAGTTCAATGAAACGAGGACAAAAATTAACTAACAAAGGATTTACAAATTTAACTATTCCAGGTGTTCTTGAAGATTAAATATTTTTGCTTCATTAATGACACCAGCCACTAAATGAACTAACAAAAGATCTACACAGAGAACTAATCCAGGTGTACAGGAAGAGTTAACATTTTCTGCTTCATCAACGACATCTGCCATGTAAAACTTGCTTAATCCAAGTGTGTTATGTCATATTCCTATACGAAAACGTGATTAACAATAAATTAAACTATGTGGCAAACCTAAAATCATCGAAGATTGTACAAAAGACGAGTGAATAGCGATTCAGTAAATAAGTTAAAGTTAGATACAGTTTATCTGTCAAGTGTCAGCATCAACGTGAAAACTAACTACTAGATGTAAATGTCATAGATTGTGGAAGCAGGGTGTTACTACCTAGAAATGTTACATTCACAATGGTAGCTAGAGGACTTGAAATTGTCATGACTTATATTTCTTTAAAAAAATGCTGTCCCTGTTTGTTTTGTTGCAGAAAATGATTAAACTGAGTGGCTGATGTACATTAGAGAGTCAGTTGTATCCTTGATTTTCTATCCTGGTTGGTTCATGCTGATTATTTCTCATTATAATGGTTACTCAATTCATGGACTGATGAATTTACTGATTGGAGAGCATCCACAAAAATAAACTTCCAACATAAATGAACAATTACACAGTAACTGTTTTTATTATGAGTTAGCCAGAAAACTTGTTGTAAACTTTAAATCACACTAGCTATCCAGACAAATCTGTAAATGACTCAGTAATTTGATATATGGTAAGAAGAGAAAATACAGAACTGACGGATGCTCCCTGAATAAACATTACTTCTAAAGACGGCTAATTATGCAAACGAGAGTTATGGCTCTTGTACACTGCACTTCTTCACGAGATCTACCTCCCTAATAGATGTAATTTCATGTTGATACCGCCTCAAGTTTTAGTGATATGCTCCAGACAAAATTGTGACGGATGGACAGACGGACAGAGGGACAAACAGACATGTGATATGTACAAGGGGTGTACTCTGGTATGTATCTGAAATCTGATTCCGTATCTAGATACAGAAAGGGTTTATATACCTTTTCTAACAAGGATGAGTGTTCCATAAAATGATGAATGATCAAGGTAGTCAGACCAAACATGTCTAACTTATCAAACATGTAAAATCTAATAATATAATATTGAAACCGTTTATACCTATTCATATTAAGCTAAATACAAAAATGCATTCCTGTATATGATGCATTGTGTTAATTAATTAATCAAAATATGGCTCCAGTTTGTATCCAGAGGTTAATATTCACGTGAGATTAAAAAGAAGATGTAAATTAAAAACTGTCCAAGACAGGATTTCTTGATCTGAAAATATGGTAAGATATGTTGGAATTTAAATATTTCATTATTACATAACAATTACAGGATTTAATGTATTTCATATTCTGTTGTATAAGACAAAATATTCTAGAAAGGCCCTGAAGCGACACCGGTTTGCTGTAAAGGAAAACCTACCTTGAATTCCTGTATTGAAACTCTGACATTTCCTGCAGCAGATATCAGCATTTGTTCCAGCATAGCACTGATTGGCCGATACTTGTGTACAGTTTGTTTTATCTCCATATTCACAACCTGGACAAACAAAGACATAGAAACATTTTTTGTAAAATGTAACATTCTGGCTAGGTACAGATTATACCTAGTAACAGTAGGTATTTGTCAGTTTACTGCAAGAGGCCAAAACTTTACCAATGCTGTTTGAAAAATTATTTCTTCAGTTTAAAAAAATATTGTGCCATCATTCCAAAACAGGAAAATCACTAGAGCTAACAACATATGTTTACAGTCTCCAGAAAGACATTTACGGAGAAAATCTATGCTTCTTTTAATTGACTGTATAATTACTTTGTAAAGTAAGAAGCTGATTTAAAAGTGAAATTCTAAGTTATATGTTTGCTACATGTAGGTTTAAATTGTAAACATTGTAAATAATATAATCCATCATTTTCATTGGTCAGAAACTGGTGACATCATTTCGGAACAAAAACACAAGGCTTGTGATCATTGGTCAGAAACTGGTGACATCATTTCAGAACAAAAACAAAGGCTTGTGATCATTGGTCAGAAACTGGTGACATCATTTCAGAACAAAAAACAAAAGGCTTGTGATCATTGGTCAGAAACTGGTGACATCATTTCAGAACAAAAACACAAGGCTTGTGATCATTGGTCAGAAACTGGTGACATCATTTCAGAACAAAAACAAAGGCTTGTGATCATTGGTCAGAAACTGGTGACATCATTTCAGAACAAAAAACAAAAGGCTTGTGATCATTGGTCAGAAACTGGTGACATCATTTCAGAACAAAAACAAAGGCTTGTGATCATTGGTCAGAAACTGGTGACATCATTTCAGAACAAAAACACAAGGCTTGTGAACATTGGTTAGACAATTTGTTTAAATGAATAAAAGTTTTTTTTTTTTAAAAATAACCATTTACTAGTTGTTCTATATAGTCCTTTTATCCACATACATACTTCCATAAAAGATTCTTTTCCAACCACCCTCCAGAAAACGTTTAATTATCATATCATTATCATATGATTTTGCTTACTTCACTGTTCCATAGAAAGTCAAATAATTCTGCTTTTAGATTTTGAAGAAAATTTCTATTTGAATTTGGAAGAGCTATATGATATAATCAGTGATTTGGTTTTATATACTTTTCCTATCAAAGTAATAATCTTTCTTTTCCAGGGCTTACAACAGATTTTAGCTTTACAGTTTTTTTATCAAAGTTAGATTTGATGACTAAGTGCAAATCCACATCAAATTCAATACCTGCGAGAGTAAAATTTGTATTGCAGTATTGCACCACCGCAAATTGCACTCAGGAAAATAAATAAGTTGACTCTATTTTCTGCTGCCTATCTACAGTATTTGTGTTTTCCCGACATTAATTCTAAATCCAGAAATTTCTGCAAATGCTGTACAGTTCATTAATTGCCTCCTTCAGTGAGTCTTTTGAGCCAAGGAGAAATGTTTAGAGGTTTTTGTTAAGTTATTTTCAAGAATATTTCAGAAAGTTCCAAGAACAGTGACTTCACCATGGATGATCCTTAATCACATTTGAATTTGCTTTGAATTTCTCATGGCTCTTACCTCTGTGTGATTACTTTTTTTTAAATTTTTCATATAGGTTATTTTGTATCAGTCAGATTTCATCAAAGCATTGATGTAAAAGTGAAAGTATTATGTCTGTCTTTTTCAAAATCATTTGATGTAATATAAAGTCATCACATTTGATAGATTTGAATACCATTCTGTCCGGTGTATAAAGACTGACACATGTCACTCTATTATTTGATATAGTGTACCACTCTGTCCGGTGTATAAAGACTGACAAATGTCACTGTATTATTTGATATACTGTACCACTCTGTCTGGTGTATAAAGACTGACACATGTCACTGTATTATTTGATATACTGTACAACTCTGTCTGGTGTATAAAGACTGACACATGTCACTCTATTATTTGATATACTGTACCATTCTGTCCAGTGTATAAAGACTGACACATGTCACTGTATTATTTGATATACTGTACCATTCTTTCCGGTGTATAAAGACTGACACATGTCACTCTATTATTTGATATAGTGTACCACTCTGTCCGGTGTATAAAGACTGACAAATGTCACTCTATTATTTGATATACTGTACCATTCTGTCTGGTGTATAAAGACTGACACATGTCACTCTATTATTTGATATACTGTACCATTCTGTCCGGTGTATAAAGACTGACACATGTCACTCTATTATTTGATATACTGTACCATTCTGTCCGGTGTATAAAGACTGACACATGTCACTGTATTATTTGATATACTGTACCATTCTGTCCGGTGTATAAAGACTGACATGTGTCACAACAGCTGGAGTTGTAGGAATAACAGCCCCAGGGTGAAAGTTTTGCCATATCCTGACAAGTTAAAGTGTTGTACACAACACCTTTGGAGTCACCATATAGACATGTACCTACAAAAAATCAACAAGAAATTGGGAATCATCATAGATATATATATAGACATGTACATACAAAAAATCAACAAGAAATTGGGAGTCACCATAGATATATATATAGACACGTACCTACAAAAAAATCAACAAGAAATTGGGATTCACCATAGACATATATATAGACATGTTCATACAAAAAATCAACAAGAAATTGGGAGTCACCATAGATATATATATATATAGACATGTACATACAAAAAATCAACAAGAAATTGGGAGTCATCATAGATATATATATAGACATGTACATACAAAAAATCAACGAGAAATTGGGAGTCACCATAGACATATATATAGACATGTACATACAAAAAATCAACAAGAAATTGGGAGTCCCCATAGACATATATATAGACATGTACATACAAAAAATCAACAAGAAATTGGGAGTCACCATATATATACTCAACAAAAAAAGAAAGGTTAACATGCTTCCTTGGCGAATACCTGTAAATGAGTGAAAACAAAGTGACGTTTGTGCAATATTAGAAAATGGTAATGTTTAACATTACAAAATCCAGGGGGGTTACCAAAATCATTCAAGCGTGAAAGTCTGTATTAGTGAAAGAGCTGCACGAGGTTTTCTGCGACTAACTTGTATCTTCGCTTGAATTTCATGAACATTCAAACTGACAACTGTTCCTCAGATCCTTAGGACTTAGAAATCACCGAATCTTGCTATCTATCAACTTTATCATTATGCCCCGGCTGTCACAAGTACAGAGAGAAAGGGCTGTAGGCATGATGCAGGCTGGGGAGTCTCGCCATCGAGTTGCACGGCATGTTGGTTGCAGTGTTAAGACAATTTGCCGGTTGGTAAGTCGTTTAAACCAAACTGAGTCAACATCCGATCGTCCCCGAAGCGGCCGACCCCGTAAAACGACAGCCAGGGATGACCGTCGTATACGATTGATACACTTGCACAATCAATTCGTAACCGCAGTAGAGACTACAAGGACATTGTCTGGGCATCGTGTGTCTCCCCAAACAGTCCGCAACAGGTTGAGGGCCTACCAATTGAAAGCACGGCGTCCCTACACTGGACCCAATTTGTTGCGACGTCACCATATTAATCGGCATAACTGGACCTGTGTTCACCGTCGTTGGGCCTTACGACAATGGAACAATTTTCTGTTTTTAGATGATTCCAGGTTTTGTCTGCAACACGGTGACGGAAGGCGTAGAGTGTGGAGGCGACGAGGGGAGCGTTTTGCGAACTGCTGCGTCGCAGAACGGGACCGCTTTGGCGGCGGAAGTGTAATGGTTTGGGTGGTATTTGTGGGGGGACTCGTACCAGGCTTGTTGTGTTAAATGGCAATTTAACTGGCATTCGATATCGGGACGAAATTTTAAGACCAGTGGTTCTCCCATTCTTAAGACACCATGCCGTTGGCGCCATTTTTCAACAGGATAACGCAATAGCGCACACCAGTCGCGTCAGCAGAAATTTCTTGCAGCAGAATAACATAAAGGTGTTAGATTGGCCATCTAAATCACCTGATTTGTCACAGATTGAGCGTGTCTGGGATGTTCTTGGGAGACACGTGAGAAAACGACAAAATCAGCCGTCAAACTTGCAGTAGCTGGCCCAAGCCTTGATCGCTGAATGGAACAACATCTCTCCTCAAATTATCCACCGGTTTACGAGTTCCATGCGACGACGCTGCAATGCTGGTTACTTAACAAACGGTGGCCATACCCGTTACTAATGGTGTTACCTTTGAAATTGACCCCAACGTCCTTTACAGTCGAATAAAATCAACTGAACGCAAGGTTTTATAATGAACCATGATTGCAGTTTTATCAGAATTGATCAATTACTTTATTCGTACATGATTGGTAAGGATTTATGAAGGGATTAATTAATTAATCACAGAATAAAGTAGTGTTACCTTTCTTTTTTTGTTTAGTATATATATAAATATAGTATACAGCAACCTACAGTTGTATACACTTGCAATAACACATATCAATGATAGATTTTATATCAAATAGATTGACAGGTTGGCATAAAAGTACAGGGTTATTGTGGGGGTTAATGATATATATAAATACTTGGTGGTACAGGGTTATTGTGAAGGTTAATGATATATATAAATACTTGGTGGTACAGGGTTATTGTGAAGGTTAATGATATATATAAATACTTGATGGTACAGGGTTATTGTGAAGGTTAATGATATATATAAATACTTGGTGGTACAGGGTTATTGTGATGGTTAATGATGGGTGTTGAGAGTGATGATACATACTAGGTGGTGTAGGTGCACTGTTTGAAGCCACACAGTTTCCCTGTTGACACCACTGAAATATACAAAATACATAAACAATTTTAGATTTGATCATTTCTGTTTTTCATATCTGTCACATTAGGAAGATCCGTGAGCATGATTCCACCAACAAACATACAGCTTACAGGATATTTTTACCACAACATACAGATGTCACCTGGGTTATTTCTACCTAGTCATACAGATGTCACCTGGGTTATTTCTACCCAGACATACAGGTGTCACCTGGGTTATTTCTACCTAGTCATACAGATGTCACCTGGGTTATTTCTACCTAGACATACAGGTGTCACCTGGGTTATTTCTACCTAGACATACAGATGTCACCTGGGTTATTTCTACCAAGACATACAGGTGTCACCTGGGTTATTTCTACCTAGTCATACAGATGTCACCTGGGTTATTTCTACCCAGACATACAGGTGTCACCTGGGTTATTTCTACCTAGACATACAGATGTCACCTGGGTTATTTCTACCCAGACATACAGGTGTCACCTGGGTTATTTCTACCCAGACATACAGGTGTCACCTGGGTTATTTCTACCTAGACATACAGATGTCACCTGGGTTATTTCTACCTAGTCATACAGATGTCACCTGGGTTATTTCTACCCAGACATACAGGTGTCACCTGGGTTATTTCTACCTAGACATACAGGTGTCACCTGGGTTATTTCTACCTAGACATACAGATGTCACCTGGGTTATTTCTACCTAGACATACAGGTGTCACCTGGGTTATTTCTACCTAGACATACAGATGTCACCTGGGTTATTTCTACCTAGACATACAGATGTCACCTGGGTTATTTCTACCTAGACATACAGGTGTCACCTGGGTTATTTCTACCTAGACATACAGGTGTCACTTGTATTCCATGTGATAATGACTCTCACCTTTGCTGTATTACATGTTGTTCCATCAGCTGGTAAGATTAGTGTACACGAGGAGGATGATAAAGTTTTACACCATAATCCGGTACAGATTGTCTCAAAATCTGTGTAAAATTGCTGAGGAAGAAATAACAAAATGTATATTAGATTGATAGACAACAACAGTCAAACATGTTCTTCAACACCATGAAACAAATGTACCTAAGGAAATCATGCAATAAATCATATGTAAATTAAAATAAAAGTCAAATTTATCAAAAACACTGCCAATGAATCGTCTTTAAGGAAAATTTAAACAAGGAATATATCTATAGAATTATTAGAACAGTGGTGTAAGTCACTGTAGACAGGATATCCACATATACAAATACTACATAGGAAGGTCGTCTCTCTAGACAGAGGAACTTAATGGACAGGTGGTCTCTATATTGATAAATAGGTGGTCTCTATAGATTTATAGACAGGGGACATTAATAGACAAATATCTCTATAAATTAATAGATAGGAGACCTTAATAGACAGGTGGTCTCTATAGATTTATAGACAGGGGACATTAATAGACAGGTGATCTCTATAGATTTATAGACAGGGAAATTAATAGACAGGTGGTCTCTATAGATTTATAGACAGGGGACATTAATAGACAGGTGGTCTCTATTTATTTATAGACAGGAGACCTTAATAGATAGGTGGTCTCTACAGATTTATAAACAGGAGACCTTAATAGACAGGTGATCTCTATAGATTTAAAGACAAGGGACATTAATAGACAGGTGGTCTCGATAGATTTATAGACAGGGAAATTAATAGACAGGTGGTCTCTATTTATTTATAGACAGGAGACCTTAATAGATAGGTGGTCTCTACAGATTTATAAACAGGAGACCTTAATAGACAGGTGATCTCTCGATAGATTTATAGACAGGGAAATTAATAGACAGGTGGTCTCTATTTATTTATAGATTTAAAGACAAGGGACATTAATAGACAGGTGGTCTCGATAGATTTATAGACAGGGAAATTAATAGACAGGTGGTCTCTATAGATTTATAGATTGGGGACATTAATAGACAGGTGGTCTCTATTTATTTATAGAAAGGAGACCTTAATAGACAGGTCGTCTCTATAAATTTATAGACAGGGGACATTAATAGATAGGTGGTCTCTATTTATTTATAGAAAGAAGACCTTACTAGACAGAAGGTCTCAAGATTAATAAACAGGTGGACTCTCTAGACAGAGGCCCTTAATAGACAGGTGGTCTCTATATATTTATAGACAGGAGACCTTAATAGACAGGCGGTCTCTAGATTGATAAACAGGTGGTCTCTCTAGACAGGGGACCTTAATAGACAGGTGGTCTCCATAGATTTGTAGAGAGGTGGATTCAGTAGACTGAGGCCTTTATAGACAGGTGTTTTTATTGCTAGGAGAAATTTGCAGTTAAGTTGGCCCCATATATGGGACTTTCATTCTAAATTGATTTTTACAGATGATTAGTTATCATAAACAGTTTGTCTCAACAGACAGGGGCCTGAATAGACAAGTGGTCTCTATTGACAGGGACCTCAATAGACAAGTGGTCTCTATTGACAAGGACCTCAATAGACAAGTGGTCTCTACAGACAGGGGACCTTAATAAACAGATGGTCATTGAAGAAACGGGACTTCAACAGACAGGAGGTCTCTATAGACATGGGACCTTAATAGTCAGGAGGTCTCTATAGGGAGTCGAACTCAACAGACAGGTGATCTCTATAGAGAGGTTTTCTTAACACACAGATATGATATATATAGACAAGGGTCTATGTATTTATGGTCTTTTAAGAGGGGACAGGTCTATATAGGCAAGATACCATTATAGACAGGAAAACAGAATAGACAGGGGAACAAAATAGATGGCAAACAGAATAAACAGGGGAAACAGAACAGACAGGAGAAATAGAATAGACAGGGGGAACAGAATAGACAGGGGGGTCAGAACAGACAGGGGGAATAGAATAGACTAGGGGAACAGAATAGACAGGGGAACAGAATAGACAGGGGGAACAGAATAGAAAGGGGAACAGAATAGACAGAGGAATAGAATAGACAGGGGGAACAAAATAGATGGCAAACAGAATAGACAGGGGAAACAGAACAGACAGGGGGAATAGAATAGACAGGGGGAACAGAATAGACAGGGCAACAGAATAGAAAGGGCAACAGAATAGACAGGGCAACAGAATAGACAGGGGAACAGAATAGACAGAGGAATAGAATAGACAGGGGGAACAGAATAGACAAGGGGAACAGAATAGACATGGGGGAACAGAATAGACAGGGGAACAGAATAGACAGAGGTACAGAATAGACAGGGCAACGGAATAGACAGCGGGAACAGAAAAGACAGGGCGATAGAATAGACAGATGAACAGAATAAACAGAGGAACAGAACAGACAGAGGAACAGAATAGACAGGGGAACAGAATATACAGGGGAACTGAATAGACAGGGGAACAGAATAGACAGAGGAACAGAATAGACAGGGCAACAGAATAGACAGGAAGGGGATATGTCTATAGACAGGGTGATTAGATTTCTTACCAAACAAATGTACGATCCTTGACCTACAGCCAACTCACACTGAAGATTAACGTTGAACAATTGGCCGATCTCTGTCACAGTGTAAGGGTTTAACTCGTCAGGATTGGTCGAGGAGTCGGTGGTGAGGAGACAATTGTTTCCATTGCTGAAACAGTGTCTAATAACTTGATCACAAAATATCACCTGAACTCATTTTTTATAAAATATATTTCAAAACAGAACATCAAGTGATATTTTTTTGCCTTGGAAGATGAAATTGAGAAACAGCATAGCAAACGTATTGCCTAATTCAATAACATCGGCCCCGCCCTAGATCAGGTCGCATCCAGGTTTTAAAAAAAGGGAGGATGGGAATGTTTGTCCACTCCCGAGAAACAACCAAGCTGAAGGAGGAAGAAGTTTTGTCCACTGTCAGGTGAATTGTGATATCTGATTTTACCCTGGAGACAAGACTTGATTGATGTAAAGTGAAGAACTTTGGGTTTTTTTAGGACCACTACCAATCAAAGGGATGAGGCCGTGTAAAACCATTTATAGTTAAGGAGCTCAATTTTTGGGGTTTTTCCAAAAAATGTAATTTCATAGAAACTGAATTTCATTGGTAGATATAGCTCAATGAATATACTTTTACTTACTTTAACCTTAGATGTTTGAATTCATAGACTGAAAATCAGTCATTTTACAGTATACATGGGTGAGTCACTTTCTTTCAATAAAATAACAATTTCATGTTATTCTAATTCTTTCTCTGGATTACCTGTCCAAGTTATCCAGCAGGTTATTTATTTCAATGACAGAACAGCTAGAGAATATCCAGGGATGTCGAGCAGAAGTACCGGTCTGTGAAGAACTTGATGCAGCCATGACATATGCATTATTAGCTAGACAGTTATTGTCCACACCATCATGTTTTGCCCCTAAACTGTAAATAATGTTAAAATGCTAATTAATCATCAACAATTAACAAGTATTATTAATGAAGCATGTTTCAGAGAGAACTTTTTATTTATTTCTGTCTACCAGATAATATCACTACCTACCAGATAATATCACTACTAGACAATATCACTACCTACCAGATAATATCACTACCTACCAGATAATATCACTACCAGATAATATCACTACTAGATAATATCACTACCAGATAATATCACTACCTACCAGATAATATCACTACTAGATAATATCACTACCTACCAGATGATATCACTACTAGACAATATCACTACCTACCAGATAATATCACTACCTACCAGATAATATCACTACCAGATAATATCACTACTAGATAATATCACTACCAGATAATATCACTACCAGATAATATCACTACCTACCAGATAATATCACTACTAGATAATATCACTACCTACCAGATAATATCACTACCAGATAATATCACTACCTACCAGATAATATCACTACTAGATAATATCACTACCTACCAGATAATATCACTACTAGATAATATCACTACCTACCAGATAATACCACTACCAGATAATATCACTACCTACCAGATAATACCACTACCAGATAATATCACTACCATATAATATCACTACCTCCCAGACAATATCACTACCTACCAGATAATATCACTACTAGATAATATCACTACCAGATAATATCACTACCAGATAATATCACTACCTACCAGATAATATCACTACTAGATAATATCACTACCTACCAGATAATATCACTACCATATAATATCACTACCTACCAGATAATATCACTACCAGATAATATCACTACCAGATAATATCACTACCAGATAATATCACTACCTACCAGATAATATCACTACTAGATAATATCACTACCTACCAGATAATATCACTACCTACCAGATAATATCACTACCAGATAATATCACTACCAGATAATATCACTTCCTTACCAGATATTATCACTACCTACCAACTAATATCACTACCTACCAGATAATATCACTACCTACCGGATAATACCACTACCAGATAGTATCACTACCTACCAGATAATATCACTACTAGATAATATCACTACCTACAAGATAATATCACTACCTACTAGATAAAATCACTACCTACCAGATAATATCACTACCATATAATATCACTACCTACCAGACAATATCACTACCTACCAGATAATATCACTACCTACCAGATAAAAATCACTACCTACCAGATAATATCACTACCAGATATCACTACCTACCAGATAATATCACTACCAGATAATATCACTACCTACCAGATAATATCACTACAGAATATCTCTACCTACCAGATAAAATCACTACCTACCAGATAATATCACTACCTACCAGATAAAATCACTACCTACTAGATAATATCACTACCAGATAGTATCACTACCTACCAGATAAAATCACTACCTACCAGATAATATCACTACCTACCAGATAATATCACTACCTACCAGATAAAAATCACTACCTACCAGATAATATCACTACCTACCAGATAATATCACTACCAGATATCACTACCTACCAGATAATATCACTACCTACCAGATAATATCACTACCAGATATCACTACCTACCAGATAATATCACTACCAGATAATATCACTACCTACCAGATAATATCACTACATAATATCTCTACCTACCAGATAATATCACTACCTACCAGATAATATCACTACCTACCAGATAATATCACTACCTACCAGATAATATCACTACCAGATATATCACTACCTACCAGATAAAATCACTACCTACCAGATAATACCACTACCAAATAATATCACTACCATATAATATCACTACCTCCCAGACAATATCACTACCTACCAGATAATATCACTACTAGATAATATCACTACCAGATAATATCACTACCAGATAATATCACTACCTACCAGATAATATCACTACTAGATAATATCACTACCTACCAGATAATATCACTACCATATAATATCACTACCTACCAGATAATATCACTACCAGATAATATCACTACCAGATAATATCACTACCTACCAGATAATATCACTACTAGATAATATCACTACCTACCAGATAATATCACTACCTACCAGATAATATCACTACCAGATAATATCACTACCAGATAATATCACTACCTACCAGATAATATCACTACCTACCAGATAATATCACTACCTACCGGATAATACCACTACCAGATAGTATCACTACCTACCAGATAATATCACTACTAGATAATATCACTACCTACCAGATAATATCACTACCTACTAGATAAAATCACTACCTACCAGATAATATCACTACCATATAATATCACTACCTACCAGATAATATCACTACCTACTAGATAAAATCACTACCTACCAGATAATATCACTACCAGACAATATCACTACCTACCAGATAATATCACTACCATATAATATCACTACCTACCAGACAATATCACTACCTACCAGATAATATCACTACCAGATAATATCACTACCTACCAGATAATATCACTACTAGATAATATCACTACCTACCAGATAATATCACTACCTACCAGATAAAATCACTACCTACCAGATAAAATCACTACCTACCAGATAATATCACTACCATATAATATCACTACCTACCAGACAATATCACTACCTACCAGATAGTATCACTACCTACCAGATAATATCACTACCTACCAGATAATATCACTACTAGATAATATCACTACCTACCAGATAAAATCACTACCTACCAGATAATATCACTACCTACCAGATAAAAATCACTACCTACCAGATAATATCACTACCTACCAGATAAAAATCACTACCTACCAGATAATATCACTACCAGATATCACTACCTACCAGATAATATCACTACCAGATAATATCACTACCTACCAGATAATATCACTACAGAATATCTCTACCTACCAGATAAAATCACTACCTACCAGATAATATCACTACCTACCAGATAAAATCACTACCTACTAGATAATATCACTACCAGATAGTATCACTACCTACCAGATAAAATCACTACCTACCAGATAATATCACTACCTACCAGATAATATCACTACCTACCAGATAAAAATCACTACCTACCAGATAATATCACTACCTACCAGATAATATCACTACCAGATATCACTACCTACCAGATAATATCACTACCTACCAGATAATATCACTACCAGATATCACTACCTACCAGATAATATCACTACCAGATAATATCACTACCTACCAGATAATATCACTACATAATATCTCTACCTACCAGATAATATCACTACCTACCAGATAATATCACTACCTACCAGATAATATCACTACCTACCAGATAATATCACTACCTACCAGATAATATCACTACCAGATATATCACTACCTACCAGATAAAATCACTACCTACCAGATAATATCACCACCTACCAGATAATATCACTACCAGATAATATCACTACCTACCAGATAATATCACTACTAGATAAAATCACTACCTACCAGATAATATCACTACCTACCAGATAATATCACCACCTACCAGATAATATCACTACCAGATAAAATCACTACCTACCAGATAATCCCACTACTAGATAATATCACTACCTACCAGATAATCCCACTACTAGATAATATCACTTCCAGATAATATCACTACCTACCAGATAAAATCACTACCTACCAGATAAAATCACCACCTACCAGATAATATCACTACTAGATAATATCACTACCAGATAATATCACTACCAGATAATATCACTACCTACCAGATAAAATCCCTACCTACCAGATAATCCCACTACTAGATAATATCACTACCTACCAGATAATCCCACTACTAGATAATATCACTTCCAGATAATATCACTACCTACCAGATAAAATCACTACCTACCAGATAAAATCACCACCTACCAGATAATATCACTACCAGATAATATCACTACCTACCAGATAATATCACTACTAGATAATATCACTACCTAATAGATAATATCACTACCAGATAATATCACTACCTACCAGATAATATCTCTACCTCCCAGACAATATCACTACCTACCAGATAATCCCACTACTAGATAATATCACTTCCAGATAATATCACTACCTACCAGATAAAATCACTACCTACCAGATAAAATCACCACCTACCAGATAATATCACTACCAGATAATATCACTACCTACCAGATAATATCACTACTAGATAATATCACTACCTACCAGATAATCCCACTACTAGATAATATCACTACCAGATAAAATCACTACCTACCAGATATCACTACCTACCAGATAATATCACTACCAGATATCACTACCTACCAGATAATATCACTACCTACCAGATAATATCACTACCAGATAATATCACTACCAGATAATATCACTACATAATATCTCTACCTACCAGATAATATCACTACCTACCAGATAATATCACTACCTACCAGATAAAATCACTACCTATCAGATATATCACTACCTACCAGATAAAATCACTACCTACCAGATAATATCACCACCTACCAGATAATATCACTACCAGATAAAATCACTACCTACCAGATATATCACTACCTACCAGATAAAATCACTACCTACCAGATAATATCACTACCTACCAGATAACATCACTACCTACCAGATAATTTTACTACCAGATGACATCACTACTTACTGCATGAGATGATATAGCAGATTTTTTTAAGGATTTCCATTTAAAATATGTTGACGAAACAAACTTAGATTTTTATTTTAAAAAATTTACCAAGCTGCTGGCAATGCTAAATGAATGACTGCTCACAATTTTCAACAATCTCCTGACATGGGAACAAATTTAAGATTCTGTTTATCATAGAACTTAGCTTTTAGTGAAAACATTCCATTAGAGTGACATAATTGGCAATATTTTTATTCTCTAACCTTGGTGACATCACTATGCAGATAAATCTGTGAAGTAATGATGAGTATTGTTATCCAACTAAAATCCCACTAGGTCATATACCATGTGTGGTCACAACAGGGTAACGAAGTGATAAATCAGAGGTAGTTTCTATTTCCCAAAAGTATTTTACTCAAAGAAAGATAATTAGTTTTTGCTACTACATGTTCACTTGCCTGTGTCCAAGTTCATGTGCAGCTGTAGTTTCTACGATGAAGTTGAACTGGTCCTCTACAATGGACTGGCTGTTATCAGAACACATTCCAGCCTGGAAGGCATAACCTAAGACACATGACACTAAATATAAGAAAACATCAGGTATAACCTGAGACACAAGACAATAGGTTAACAAGAAACACATTGTATAACCTGAGACACTAGACACTAGGTTACCAAGAAACACATTGTATAACCTGAGACACAAGACACTAGGTTACCAAGAAACACATTGTATAACCTGAGACACTAGACACTAGGTTACCAAGAAACACATTGTATAAACTGAGACACAGGACACTAGGTTACCAAGGAACACATTGTATAACCTGAGACACAAGACACTAGGTCACCAAAAAACATCAAGTATAACCTGAGACACTAGACACTAGGTTACCAATAAACATCAGGTATAACCTGAGACACAAAACACTAGGTTACCAAGAAACACATTGTATAACCTGAGACACTAGACACTAGGTTACCAAGAAACACATTGTATAACCTGAGACACTAGACACTAGGTTACCAAGAAATGCATTGTATAACCTGAGACACAGGACACTAGATTACCAAGAAACACTTGTATAACCTGAAACACAGGACACTAGGTTACCAAGAAACACATTGTATAACCTGAAACACAGGACACTAGGTTACCAAGAAACACATTGTATAACCAGACACAGGACACTAGGTTACCAAGAAACACATTGTATAACCTGAGACACTAGACACTAGATTACCAAGAAACACTTGTATCACCTGAGACACAGGACACTAGGTTACCAAGAAACACATTGTATAACCTGAGACACTAGACACTAGGTTACCAAGAAACACATTGTATAACCTGAAACACAGGACACTAGGTTACCAAGAAACACATTGTATAACCTGAAACACAGGACACTAGGTTACCAAGAAACACATTGTATAACCACAGACACAGGACACTAGGTTACCAAGAAACACATTGTATAACCTGAGACACAGGACACTAGGTTACCAAGAAACACATTGTATAACCTGAGACACTAGACACTAGGTTACCAAGAAACACATTGTATAACCTGAAACACAGGACACTAGGTTACCAAGAAACACATTGTATAACCTGAAACACAGGACACTAGGTTACCAAGAAACACATTGTATAACCACAGACACAGGACACTAGGTTACCAAGAAACACATTGTATAACCTGAGACACAGGACACTAGGTTACCAAGAAACACATTGTATAACCACAGACACAGGACACTAGGTTACCAAGAAACACATTGTATAACCTGAGACACTAGACACTAGGTTACCAAGAAACATCAGGTATAACCTGAGACACAGGACACTAGGTTACGAAGAAACACATTGTATAACCACAGACACTAGACACTAGGTTACCAAGAAACACATTGTATAACCACAGACACAGGACACTAGGTTACCAAGAAACACATTGTATAACCTGAGACACTAGACACTAGGTTACCAAGAAACACATTGTATAACCACAGACACAGGACACTAGGTTACCAAGAAACACATTGTATAACCTAAGACATCAACATGTAATAAAATAATGCACCATTAGATACAGGACCACGTGCATTGTAACCTAGAGAGTTGTTTGACCAATTTTCGTTGTTTTTGAACAACACATTTGCAAGACATTGCAAATAATGTCACCTTGTGTTTCTTTATCCCTTGGGTACATTTACATAAATGACAAAGCTTTGTTTTAGTCTAATATGATGTTGAAGATATAAGATTAACAATGATACCCACTATGTAATAACAGACACAGCTTCAATTATCAATATTCTGATATTTCAATAAAGACACACGTCCCTTCTAATCTTAATTAGTCAAACCATTACCTATATTTCCGTCATCTCCATTTGATATGAAGTTATACCTAAAAAACAAAACAAAGTTACAACAATATCACAATACAGCTTAGTTTTCATCTCAAACTTTTGTTTCTTGAGTTTATTTTTAGAGGCAGAGGGGGCAGGGAGCAGGGGGCAGGGAGCAGAAGGTGTATATGTAAGCTTGCTGAAATACTGCTTTGAACTTAAAATGGATTTTCTTTTTCTCTAACTTTACCATTACTCTGGTACACCATATACCACTCTGTTTGACAGAAATTCTCTTGATCTCAATTGGTTGAGTGTAAAACTAGTAAGCCAGAAATCCTGGTGTCAGCCAATTTATCACCAGAACAGAGTTATACTGAGATAAATAAGGACCCCTGATAATTATATATTTTATATATTTTCACTATATTGTTCCTTACTTCTGAGACGAGGTCTGAAGTGACTTACTAAGATTGCACTAGCCAGTTGTCGTGTAGTCTGCTTCCTAAACAATTAGTATTTTCAACATCTCAAAAACTCTTACCCAATTCTGATGCTTTTCAGATATTTTATCAAAATTGTAAATTTCATGACCAGAGAATCTCACATAAATGATTTGCATATTTTGACCTTGACTGACCCCTAGGAACTCTAGAGAAGGAGCAAATTTTTCAAGTTTTGTTCTTTTGTGCAATAAGAATGCTGGAATTAAAAACTGTGAATCAGTATAATAGATATCTGAAAGCCAGTTGTTTTGATAGGTACCAGCTGTCAACTAATACTACTAATGAAGCAGTACCACATAATATACCGTAATGTCGGTTATTTTTGCGATGATGATGCTATGCTTATTACACAGTAACATTAATGTGAACATGAAAATTAATGAAATAATGAGACACATGGGTATTATGTCTTTTAACATTCAGACCATGAAATTTATATTTCTTTAAAATATAATTAAATAATTTTAAAACAAAAATCATGAGAATTTTTTACCTGTGAAAGTAACCCATTATATTAAGTAATTTCTACATTAGAATTACATATAATTTACCTTACATTGTTTACAAGAGGACATATATGTCACAAACAATAAGATAAGATAAGTTTATTTCAGGTTCAGGACTTACATGCAAGTCCTCTATACCAGACTAAAAAAATACATTATACAAAATATTGAAATATTAAAAATATTACTGTTATTTAACATAGACCTCTTGCAAATGTACATCATGTATACAAATTGGAAATTATGTGATTACAGCTCTGTAATTAAAGAACAGTTCTTGTTTTTTTTTCTAGTGTTTGTCTAATTCATTGTAAAATTTGTTGATATTACTAACAGAAATGACATATTCAGGTAATTTATTCCAAATGGTTACCAATCTAATTTAAAACTAAAGATAAGCCTAATTATAGAACTCAGAATATCACTTTACATGACATAATTATTAGAATAAAAAGATGAATAAGAAAAAAAAAACACTGCCTAAAATCAAATGTCTGTTGAATTGCCCATGTCTTCATTCAAGTAGTTTGTACTTCATTTTGAAATGAATTTTGTACACATTTAATCATAACTGAATTCAAATGATCCTTATTTATTTTTTATTATATATAATAAACAGATTGGTTTCTCATTATATGAAAAACTCCGATGCCTTTAAACCATACTGGAAACCATGGGCACCTGACCCATGTAATATTTTTTGTCTTTGGTGTAAAATTACCAAGGGTTCCGATCACTATAAACCAGAATTCAGGTGAACAGGAAATTGGTCAATTTTATTTTATTTTTTTTTTATTTTTGACGACATGCATTTCAAACCACCAATGTATATCTGTCTGTAAAATAGATTTTATTCAGTTTTAGTGGTTTATATTTCAGCATGAAAATCTGAAAGGATCTTTTTGAAGGACAAGATAATTTGAACCAATCAGCAGGTCAAAAGTTCACTGTCCTTACAAAACATCCACATTTTAAATACTGTGGGAGATACCTACCTTTACATGACAGAGCTGTTTTGACTTTTGACTTCCAAAGTGTACAGACATCTTCTCAAATGTGAGTAACCTTCCCTGTTACTGTATCACTTACTAGTTAGGACCTGGGAACAACCCTAGAGAGTTCAGTTTATAAATACACACTGAAATTCTCCACAATATTGTTAAGGGTCGTCAGGTGTTTCAAGTGATAATGCACCAGTGTCGTATGATGAAATTAAGCTGATGGTTAAGAAAAGTCCTATAACATACTATAACTCATCACTATACTGTACCTGTCTATCAGGGGAGGTGAACCGTGTTTCATTTCACCATTATTGTATTTTACCCTGGTTTATTTCCCTATGCTTCACAATACCATACTACACTGGGTTTGATTCCCCAAAAAGACATGAAAAGACCAGCCAAACCATGTGGGGTTTTTTTACAGGAGACAGACACTTTGTGTGTTTCTATCTGCATCAACTATAGTGATTAATACAAGATGAAATAACTTGTTTTGCAATTATTGTAATATAAAGAATGTGTCCATCTAAATATCTTTTAAAAAAAACTGTATATATGATTCGTGTTGTTTTGGGTTGTTTACCTGCTAAAGAGCATGGCGTGGTCATGGGCAGGGATATTCTCAGCCTGTGTTTCTGCTTGTATCCACAGCCTGAAGTTGTTGATGACGGTGACAACATTAACTGTGTTACTTACAGTCTTCACTGGCTCTGTCCACGGGGAACTGGTTATATTCTGTAAACAGTTACACAATTATACCTTTGACATATCGTGACAAAGCATACAGATGATAAATGAATAACTATGTCACACATGATCAGGCCCCACAATCATGGACCAATACATGAGGGATAGGAATAGCAAAACAAGTGACAAAAAACGACACAAACAACAGCAACAAAAACAACAACAATATCTAAAACAGAATACATTGTTTTTGATTGAATCAGCTAAGTCCATATGTTAAAGAAAACATATTCAAATTTTCATTCCAAAGAATTAATAGAGGAGATTAAATAAATTCCAACAAGAGGCCAAATGGACCTGCATTGCTCACTTGTTACTCAATGCCTTTCACTAATACATTAAAATTTCACATCATTGACATTAAAAATCTCTGTTAATGAGAAGAAGTCATTAAAAGCTTGAACCTCTCTGAATTTAAATTTGGGTCAAGGTAATTTCTTTTTGCAAATTTTGCCATGCGTAATTAGACCCTACCTGCCAAACATCAAGATACCAGACATTTTCATTAATCAGTAGAAGTTGTTTGAATGTTTCATTAATCAGTAGAAGTTGTTTGAATGTTTCGTTAATCAGTAGAAGTTGTTTGAATGTTTCATTAATCAGTAGAAGTTGTTTGACTGTTTCGTTAATCGGAAGAAGTTGTTTGAATGTTTCATTAATCAGTAGAAGTTGTTTGACTGTTTCGTTAATCAGTAGAAGTTGTTTGACTGTTTCGTTAATCGGAAGAAGTTGTTTGAATGTTTCGTTATTCAGTAGAAGTTGTTTGAATGTTTCGTTGACCAGTAGAAGTTGTTTGACTGTTTCGTTAATCAGTAGAAGTTGTCTGACTGTTTCGTTAATCAGTAGAAGTTGTTTGAATGTTTCATTAATCAGTAGAAGTTGTTTGACTGTTTCGTTAATCGGAAGAAGTTGTTTGAATGTTTCGTTAATCAGTAGAAGTTGTTTGACTGTTTCGTTAATCAGTAGAAGTTGTTTGACTGTTTCGTTAATCAGTAGAAGTTGTTTGAATGTTTCGTTAATCAGTAGAAGTTGTTTGACTGTTTCGTTAATCAGTAGAAGTTGTTTGACTGTTTCGTTAATCAGTAGAAGTTGTTTGAATGTTTCGTTAATCAGTAGAAGTTGTTTGAATGTTTCGTTAATCAGTAGAAGTTGTTTGACTGTTTCGTTAATCAGTAGAAGTTGTTTGACTGTTTCGTTAATCAGTAGAAGTTGTCTGACTGTTTCGTTAACCAGTAGAAGTTGTTTGAATGTTTCGTTGACCAGTAGAAGTTGTTTGACTGTTTCGTTAATCAGTAGAAGCTGTTTGAATGTTTTAACATATGGTATGGCTGGTAATTATCGCAAGTCAAAATTCTTTGCGATTTTCATTTCAAACGATCAAATTATATTTTAAAGAAGCAAAAGTTTCGTGGTCAAGATGTCAAAGGACGTCTTATACACCAATGCCCCATTATATCATGTGCTTAATTTTCCTGATCACTTTAATGTACTGCAAAATAGAGAAAACATCTTCCCTGCAAAACTAACTAGCTATATATATAATTTACTAGGCTTCATTCAAGATACCTTGCTGCCGAAAATCAGGATTTTAGGCCGTTTGCTTATTGAGAAGTCATTTAAAATCAAAATTTGACACCAAATGGATAGACAAACGATGGATTCTGCACCACAGTATAAGCTCACTTTGTAGAAATAACAAGAGGCCCAATGGGTCTACCTGTCATTTCACTATAAAGACCTTTATATTATAAAACAGCAGTAGTAAAAACAGTTATTAAATCAGTTCAGAATATTTTATTTAAGATAAAGAAACCCTTCTCATTTCTGTTTCTTAACATTAGGATAAAATTTCAACTCAACTGCAATTGAAACTTTAGAAGAAGTTTAAAATGCACCTTATAAGATGGCAGCCATGGCAGCCATATTGGATTGCAGACCATCTCAGGATCATTACAGGCAACTTTCAGCTGAATTCCACAAACAGAACTAGAGAAGAAGTTTAAAATGAAAAAGTTTACACACATTACATGATAAAAGCTGAAAAAAAAATACTCTAGGTCAACCTGATTTTTAACCTGCACTTCTTCATTTGTTTTTAACTTGCACCAAGAAAAGGAGAATTTCTCAGTGCCAAAGTGTGATTTTCTGAATAGTACATCCATGCTAAGTGTATCAACGTATCACTGAAGCCTCACACATTCACTGCTTTGTCATCTCGAGACAATATAACTGATGTAAGGCTGATTTCTGAAACTATAGCAATATTAACCTCACAAAGTCATGGCACCATTAGATACCCAGGTTTGTTTGTCAAAGAGGACTTCTGTTTCTTAAAGAATTTTTGTAACAAATAAGAAGTTTTTTACTGAGCAATGTTCATGCTATTCCACAATTCTTTAACAAGAAAATGTCAGTAAAACACAGCAATTGTGACCTTGCCCTTGGCCCTCGGCCCCAAAACATGATTTCATTCTGTTATGGGTATTGTTAACATTAGATTTACAAACAGATTAAAACAAGTATGGAATGCATGAATACTTACAATCACATGATGCCTCTCTCTACCCTTAAAAAAGATATTGACAAGGAAAACTTACCTCAGCAATATAAATTCCTGCAAAGCTGACATCCATTGTGTATCCTAAATTCAGTGAAGCATATCGAGCATCAATCTGAAGGTCAGTAAGAATATGGAATGAAGCAAACAGCTGTAGTGAGTTTACATCGGTGTGACAATATCATAGAGAAAATATCAACATGGAAAAAATACTCATTTTATAAAGAATCTCTAAATCATACACCCATCTTATCCTCAAAAGCTGACAAATCCTGGCAACAAGTTCTTAGTCTGATCCCAGAGTGTGTACCAATAAATTAGTTTCTAGGTAAAAAAAAACACCTGGATTCATATAACTATGAAAATATTGCAAGCATATAACTCACTATTAAAAACACTGACTTCATGTACCTCACTTTTAATGATAATGCATTGATATGTACTCAAGAGATAAAGAAACACAAGGTGACATTATTTGCAATATCTTGCAAATGTGTTGTTCAAAAACAATGAAAATAGGTCAAGCAACTCTCTAGGTTACAGTGCATGTGGTCCAATCTTGTATTATTATATTGCATGACGATGTCTTCCGGGAAAAGCACAAAAACGGGAAAATCTCGTGCACAGCGGTGTTGTGACATTGAGTTACACTGCTCGTCATACCATCAGGTAGTCTTCATAGAGACACATCATTTTCCGATATTTTGATTAATTTCTGATAGCATTAAACAATGGCACGGCTGACAGAAGTATAGAGGGGTCAGGCAATTGCTATGATCATGCAAGGTCAAAGGTAAATACAGGTTGCCAGACATTTTGGTGTCCATAAATGCACTACAGAACGTCTTGTTAGAGGTCTAAGGGAAACTGGGCGTGTTGCTGACAGATCTTGGCCTGGGCGTCCACGCATGACGTCACAACGTCAGGACAGGTTTATTCATCTCGCGCATTTGTGCAATCAGCACTTTACTGCCACTGAATCTGCCCTTCATACCTTTGGTACTCATAACCGTCCTTTCCATGCAAAAATTGTAAGGAAACGATTGCGTGAAGTTGGTCTGCGGAGATGTCACCCGTTTGTAGGTTTGCCACTTACCGCTGTTTGTCACCAGCATAGTATGGCTTGGGTGGCAGCACATGCCCCCAGAATATTCCCATTGAGGCAGTGGAGGCGGGTCTTGTTTACTTATGATTGCCAAATCACCCTGTTTCGAGCAGACTATCGACGTGTATGGAGGATGTTTTGCTGACTGCTTTGTAGTAGAGATGGATGTATTTGGGGGTAATTTGGCTATGGTGTGGGGAGGAATCTCACACGGTGTTAAATCACCACTGGTTGTGTAAGCGGGAACTTTAACTAATTATCTCTTCTGTATATGGTTTATATAAAGTAATTATCATTGATACACAGGTATATTAATGAGCTATTTGCCAAAATGTGACAATAAGCTATTTGAAAGCGCGAAATAAAATATGTTTACAGTAATATGTACAGGACGCTTTTCAAGTCTGAAAAGATGGAGGGGAAAAAAGCTATTTCTGACTTCCTTCTTAAATTTCTGAAGTTTTTGACTTTCTGGCAGCAGATGATAAAAGCTGTTTTCAAGCAAAATCATTTCAACAGTCCCAAAGCAGTGTTTATCACTTACTATGATAAGTCACAGTATGAGAGATTCTCAGATCACAGTGACCCTGATGTCTGATAGATAGTGACAAGATCCCGTCTTAGATCACAGTGACCCTGATGTCTGATAGATAGTGACAAGGTCCCGTCTCAGATCACAGTGACCCTGATGTCTGATAGATAGTGACAAGATTCTGTCTCAGATCACAGTGACCCTGATGTCTGATAGATAGTGACAAGATTCTGTCTCAGATCACAGTGACCCTGATGTCTGATAGATAGTGACAAGATTCTGTCTCAGATCACAGTGACCCTGATGTCTGATAGATAGTGACAAGGTTCTGTCTCAGATCACAGTGACCCTGATGTTTGATAGATAGTGACAAGGTCCCGTCTGAGATCACAGTGACCCTGGTGTCTGATAGATAGTGACAAGGTTCTGTCTCAGATCATAGTGACCCTGGTGTCTGATAGATAGTGACAAGGTTCTGTCTCAGATCATAGTGACCCTGATGTCTGATAGATAGTGACAAGATTCTGTCTCAGATCACAGTGACCCTGATGTCTGATAGATAGTGACAAAGTCCCTTGTCAGATCACAGTGACCCTGATGTTTGATAGATAGTGACAAGATTCTGTTTCAGATCACAGTGACCCTGATGTCTGATAGATAGTGACAAGGTCCCGTCTCAGATCACAGTGACCCTGATGTCTGATAGATAGTGACAAGGTCCCGTCTCAGATCATAGTGACCCTGATGTCTGACAGATAGTGACAAGGTTCTGTTTCAGATCACAGTGACCCTGATGTCTGATAGATAGTGACAAGGTTCCGTCTCAGATCACAGTGACCCTGATGTCTGATAGATAGTGACAAGGTTCTGCTAACAGTTAACCAGACGTGCTGCAGTGTTCTAGACTTTTTACAGGTGGTTAATTATATACATATCATATATACCACAGTGTCATGCATCAATAAATTACAGAGGAAAAAAACTTGAATGCATCTAAGTGCAGACATCAGCTGTGATAAACTACCAGATATACACACAGTGTTTTCCACCATACTGTATTTCATCCTAGTATCATGTTAGTTAGCTTTAAAATTTCTACATATCCTCACCCTGTCATTTAACCCTCTGGTGTGGTAACCATTTAGATTTGTGTACCATCAGAATTTCAATGATTATGACGGCTGGGTTGACTACATGTTTTCCTGATAGGGTGTCAATAGAGACAACATTTTCACAGTCCTTGCACAGATCCTTGCAGAACCTCGAAATCTTACATTTTGTCATCTGAAATAGCAGATTCCATGACTGTAGATTATAGTCATTCACTCAGAAAGGACACGATGCAGTACACTCTACTGCTCAACAAAAGGGAAATTCAGACTAGTCAAGGCTAGTAACGCAACCTGTACTGTCAACTATTACACAACTCCTTCCTTCTCATGGTCTTCAGACCCTGAACACAATAACAATCCAGGTTCAATATCTCCAAGGAAACATCTCAATCTCTTATAGGTTCTACACATGGAGTGGTAAACAGCGCAAATCTACTTGACAGGACTTGATCTATCATCTCTCACATATATTATACAATCTTCAGCTTATCCTAAAGATTCTCCACTGGGAAAGAGATCTACATAAATGTGATATTCTACAGTGACTTAAACTAAAACAGATCCAGATAAATGTGATATTCTAGAGAGAATTAAAATAAAATTAGCCACCAGGAAACAGATCCAGATAAATGTGATATTCTAGAGAGAATTAAAATAAAATTAGCCACCAGGAAACAGATCCAGATAAATGTGATATTCTAGAGAGAATTAAAATAAAATTAGCCACCAGGAAACAGATCCAGATAAATGTGATATTCTAGAGAGAATTAAAATAAAATTAGCCACCAGGAAACAGATCCAGATAAATGTGATATTCTAGAGAGAATTAAAATAAAATTAGTCACCAGGAAACAGATCCAGATAAATGTGATATTCTAGAGAGAATTAAAATAAAATTAGCCACCAGGAAACAGATCCAGATAAATGTGATATTCTAGAGAGAATTAAAATAAAATTAGTCACCAGGAAACAGATCCAGATAAATGTGATATTCTAGAGAGAATTAAAATAAAATTAGCCACCAGGAAACAGATCCAGATAAATGTGATATTCTAGAGAGAATTAGATAAAATTAGCCACCAGGAAACAGATCCAGATAAATGTGATATTCTAGAGAGAATTAAAATAAAATTAGCCACCAGGAAACAGATCCAGATAAATGTGATATTCTAGAGAGAATTAAAATAAAATTAGCCACCAGGAAACAGATCCAGATAAATGTGTCTGATGACTTGCCTCTACATACCCCGTTGATATGGAAGGCGACAAATGTTTTTATTGTGTTCAGAGCATCATTTTTTCGTCCTTGAATAGAGGTCTGTGAACTGGCATCATACCAACTGTAAATAGAGGTAGAATGTTGGTATCAAACCATGAGTTATCATCTACAAATACATTTAATGAAAAGCATAATTGCATGCAACAACACAGTGCGGTGCTTATGAATGCATGTCAGGTAAATCCAGGTTATAATAAGATGGGAATTTATCATAAAAATAAATTAATAAGATTCAGTTAGCCGCCAATTCGTTATAGGACTTTAATGGGTGTATAATATGCTGCCATCCCTACTTCAACCCCATACTCAAACCCCCATCCCTCCTTACCCCCTCCTCCACAACCCACTCTCATCCCCCTTACCCTTTTCTTTATCTCCCTCATCCCAAACCCCCAATCCCTTACTTTCTCTCTCACAGCCCCACCCTCATCCCCCTTACCCTCTCCCTTATCCCCCTTACCCCCATTCCCCCTCATCCCACCCACCCCAACCTCCCACAACACCTTACTCTCTCTCCCACAACCCATTCTCATCCCCCTTACCCTTTCCCTTATCTCCCTCACCCCAATTCCCCCTCGTCCCAACTCCCCAAACCCTTACTCTCTCCCTAACAACCCCACCCTCATCCCCCTTACCTTCTCCCTTATCCCCTCACCCCCATTTCCCCTCATCCCAACCCCCCAACCCCTTACTCTCTCCCTCACGACCTCCCCCTCATCCCCCTTATCGTCTCCCTCACAACACCTCCCTCATCCCCCTTACCCTTTCCCATATTTCTCTCACCCCCATTCCCCCTCATCCCAACCCCCAACCCCTTACTCTCTCCCCAAAAACCCACTCTCATCCCCCTTACCCTCTCTCGTATCTCCCTCACCCCCATTCCCCCTCATCCCAACACCCCAACCCCTTTCTCCCTCATGACCTCACCCTCATCCCCCTTACTATCTCCCTCACCCCCATTCCCCCTCATCCCAACACCACAACCCCTTTCTCCCTCATGACCTCACCCTCATCCCCCTTACTATCTCCCTCACAACCCCACCCTCATCCCCCCTACCCTCTCCATTATCTCCCTCATCCCAACCCCCAGCCCTTTACTCTTTCTCTCACAGCCCTACCCTCATCCCCCTTACCCTATCCCTTATCCTCTCACCCCCATTCCCCCTCATCCCAACCCCCGAACCCCTTACTTTCTCCCTCACAGCCCCACCTTCATCTACCTTACCCTCTCTTTTATCCCCCTCACCCCCATTCCTCCTCATCCCAACACACAACCCCTTTATTCTCTCCCTCACAGCCTTACCCTCTCTCTTATCCCCCTCATCCATATTCCTCCTCATCTCAACCCCTCCAACCCCTTTCTCCCTCACAACCTCATCCTCATCCCCCTTACCCTCTCCCTCACAATCCCTTCCTCATCCCCCTTACTCTCCCCCTAACAGCCCTACTCTCATTCCCCTTACCCTCTCCCTTATCCCCCTCACCCCAATTCCCCCTCATCCCCTCCCCCCATTCTCTATCCTTCCTCATCCCCTTCCCTCACAACCCCATCCCCTTACCCCTTACCCCTTTTACTGTCTACTTCACAACCCCACCCTCATTCCCCTTCCCTCACCCCCAATCCTTTTCCCCATATCCCCATCCCCCTCATCCTCTATCCTTCCTCACCCCCTTCCCTCACCCCAATCCTCACTTTTCAGGTAGCTTATATAACTTACAACTTTCTCTCTGTCCCTCTGTTCTTGTCCAGAGCATAACTTTGACCACACTAAACCTAGGATCATGATATAATATGTATACATTGGTCACACTGAGAAGATGTGCAATACACAAAATTCAGGGCCCACAACCCCTCAGTTACAGAATTTTTGCCCTTTGTTATCTGGTGCATAACATTGCTTGCATCTAAACTTGGGTAGTAAAACTTGCACTGAATCAAGAGCCCGCATCACATAGAGTAAATTGCTGTGTGTAAAGTGTCAGGTTACTTCATGAATATTACCTCAGTTTACGATTAGTATGAGAATATTGTACATACTATTTATATACTGAATAATCGACGACCACGAAGAGTTCCACTCTGTACAACCCACTGGCTCTCTTACTTCGACCCGTTCTGCCTTGTGTTGAGAAACTGCTTGTCAAATGTTCTGCAAACAAATATGAAAGCCCTACCTCTTAAATTGCAATATCTATGGGCAAGGTTAAAGTTGACAACAGACAAAGAAACAAACAAACAGCACAAAAACAATAAGCCCCCAATCTTTCGATCCATGGGCATACAAAAATAATGTATGGTGTACACACCGAAGCATCAGTAATATATGCTCATTAGATGATAATACCATCAATTATTGGGAGTAAACATATTCTGCAATGATGAATAACAGCCTTCTGCAATGTGACTCTTTTACAGAGATGAAAACCTGAAAATCAATCTTGATAGATATCTAAGTATCAGACACACCAGAAACAAATACACACTCCATTTCTTACAGATATCATCAAGGACATGGCAGACACTACATCAAGGACATGACAGACACTACATCAAGGACATGACAGACTCTACATCAAGGACATGACAGACACTACATCAAGGACATGACAGACTCTACATCAAGGACATGACAGACACTACATCAAGGACATGACATACTCTACATCAAGGACATGATAGACTAAACATCAAGGACATGAAAGACTCCATCAAGGACAAGACTCTCCATCAAGGACATGACAGACTCAACATCAAGGACATGAAAGACTCCATCAAGGACATGAAAGACTCCATCCAGGACAAGTCTCTCCATCAAGGACATGACAGACTCTCCATCAAGGACATGACAGACTCTACATCAAGGACATGACAAACTCTACATCAAGGCATGACAGACTCTCCATCAAGGACATGACAGACTCTCCATCAAGGACATGACAGACTCTACATCAAGGACATGACAGACTCCCCATCAAGGACATGACAGACCCTCCATCAAGGACATGATAGACCCTCCATCAAGGACATGAAAGATTCTACATCAAGGACATGACAGACTCTACATCAAGGACATGACTCTACATCAAGGACATGACAAACTCTACATCAAGGACATGACTCTACATCAAGGACATGACAGACTCTACATCAAGGACATGACAGACTTTCCATCAAAGACATGACAGACTCTACATCAAGGACATGACAGACTCTACATCAAGGACATGACAGACTCTCCATCAAGGACATGACAGACTCTACATCAAGGACATGACAAACTCTACATCAAGGACATGGCAGACTCTACATCAAGGACATGACAGACACTACATCAAGGGCATCACAGACTCTACATCAAGGACATGAAACACTCCATCAAGGACATGACAGACTCTACATCAAGGACATGACAGACTCTCCATCACGGACATGACAAACTCTATATCAAGGACATGACAGACTCTCCATCAAGGGCATGTCAGACTCTACATCAAGGGCATCCCAGACTCTATATCAAGGACATGACAGACTCTACATCAAGGACATGACAGACTCTACATCAAGGACATGACAAACTCTATATCAAGGACATGACAGACTCTCCATCAAGGGCATGTCAGACTCTACATCAAGGGCATCCCAGACTCTATATCAAGGACATGACAGACTCTACATCAAGGGCATCACAGACTCTCCATCAAGAGCATGACAGACTCTACATTAAGGGCATCACAGACTCTATATCAAGGACAGGACAGAATCTACATCAAGGACATGACAGACACTATATCAAGGACATGGCAGATTCTCCATCAAGGACATGACAGATTCTACATCAAGGACATGACAGACTCTACATCAAGGGCATCACAGACTCTATATCAAGGACAGGACAGACCCTCCATCAAGGACATGACAGACTCTACATCAAGGACAAGATTCTCCATCAAGGACATGACAGATTCTACATCAAGGACATGACAGACTCTACATCAAGGACATGGCAGATTCTCCATCAAGGACATGACAGATTCTACATCAAGGACATGACAGACTCTACATCAAGGGCATCACAGACTCTATATCAAGGACAGGACAGACCCTCCATCAAGGACATGACAGACTTTCCATTAAGGACATGACAGACTCTACATCAAGGACATGACAGATTCTACATCAAGGACATGACAGACTCTACATCAAGGACATGACAGATTCCACATCAAGGACATGACAGACTCTACATCAAGGACATGACAGACTCTACATCAAGGACATGACAGACTATACATCAAGGACATGACAGATTCTAAATCAAGGACATGACAGACTCTACATCAAGGACATGACAGACTCTACATCAAGGACATGACAGACTCTACATCAACGACATGACAGACTCTACATCAAGGACATGACTCTACATCAAGGACATGACAGACTCTACATCAACGACATGACAGACTCTACATCAAGGACATGACTCTACATCAACAACATGACAGACTCTACATCAAGGACATGATTCTACATCAAGGACATGACAGATTCTACATCAAGGACATGACTCTACATCAAGGACATGACAGACTCTCCACATCTGATGTTTAGGAAGTTTTCTTGTTGTTATGATGATTTTACTGGTAAATGCTCGGTTTCCTTTATTTTCATTAGTTATGATACCTGTTGGTTTTGTAGATGTTTACCTTTCTGATCTGGGAATGTGACACTTCTTATTTGGATTGACCAAGATTTACTGGGTCTGTGGCCCTGTTGAAGCAGAAGATGCTTACCCTTGTTGAATGCCTTGTTTTTATTCTCCTTGTATTTTTGCAGGGGTCAATGGGTACATCTTTCTTTGTTTGTATTTTGAACAAATTTTATTGAATATAATATATATAGATATAATATACACACAGTGATACCTCTCACCTGAGCTGTGATCGTTGACAAAACGAAGAGGTACAAAGGGTTGAGTAATGGTACAGGAACGAGTTGTATTGGTTCTATGATTCATACCACTCTCTGACTCTATGATATAAATCTCTTGTCCTAGGTAGAACGTTCCAAACTGTAACAGGAAAAGGAGACAATCATAGTGGTGCATCTTATCAAGTATGTGTGAGCTTTTGGATATCTTTTCCTTTTTAATCTGGAAATGTTTTGACTTCAACATGTAAAGAAAGGCAGATCTCTTCAAGTGATTGATACATTGTTCAACAAAACTTTATGTGTACAAGTTGAAGGAATTGCAATTTCTATTAAATACGTGATTTTCAATGATCTTGTGTTGATTCCTTGTTCATTTTTCTTTATTTCATGGATGCTATTACTCTTATTCTACTTGATTAATGTCAGTTATATTAGTTAAATATGGGTGTATTTGTTTAATATTGGTCAATTAGTTAAATACTGGTGTTTTAGTTTAATATTGTTAAACTAGTTAAATATTGTTAAATTAGTTTAAAATTGGTGAATTAGTTAAGTATTGGTGAAAAAGTTTAATATTGGTGAATTAGTTTGATATTGTTGAAATAGTTAAATATTGTTGAAATAGTTTAATATTGTTGAATTAATTTAATATGTTGAAATAGTTTAATATTGGTGAAATAGTTTAATATTGTTGAATTAATTTAATATGTTGAAATAGTTTAATATTGGTGAAATAGTTTAATATTGTTGAAATAGTTTATTATTGGTGAAATAGTTTGATATTGGTGAAATAGTTTAATATTGGTGAAATAGTTTAATATTGGTAATTCATTATAGACACATTAGCACTGTGACTGTAAGGGTTGTGCCATGATTTCAGCTAAGATACTGATGACAGAAATCAACAAAATCGTTGCTGTTCATTTGTGAAGTAATGCTAATCATATACAATGTCAAATGATACACAAAATATTTTAGAAATCCCTGTTCAGTTTTCAGAACTTACTTCATTTCTTCTATTTTCATAGGGTGTTTAAAGTTTTTGTTGAAGTCTTGAGTATATATATACTTACAAACTCAAATTCACTACACCGCTCCTCATCGACATTACTCAAACATTCCACGTGCATGGAGGCCATGTGACTCACATCCTGATAAAATGCGTTGGGTAACTGGAGGTGAAAAACGCTAGAGATTATCGAGGCATTTACACACGAAACTTCACATCATAGATTTACCGTCCTAACTAGATTTGAAACCTGTTTGGAGTATACCTAGCCATGACAGACACAAATTTAAACTAGAAAGTAAATATTTAAATTTGCATTCATTTCTATTTCTATGTAAACATAATAAATCGTGTTTCAGTCTATAATAGACACGGCGAAGATCGGGGTAGAAATCTACCCCTTTATTACCATGCGCCACCAAAACACCAATAAAATGGAAATGTTTTTATTCTCATAATTTTGTTTCTAAAAGTGTAAATATCTCATCTTCTTACCAATCGTAAAAATCAACGCATTTTCAATTTCTTTCCGAATAGACATTTTAGATTTGATACTGTTACGTTTCTATGACAACAGAAGCAGACAAGGCCTTTCCGTTAATGAATTTGCGAGGCCAAAAACAATTATAATGCGTGATATTTCATTGTCTTTACCAAAGTAAGGCTAAAATAAGTCTCTACATCCGAACAGGAGAGACATTGTGTCACGGGAAAACTCTGTAATTTATAATGTATGGTTGGATAACCGGGTACTGCAGCGGTAACGCATGCGCAATCGCCTCCAACCTAGACGTCTATTTCCCGAAGATGCTCGATCAGCGACCAGGTCTTTCCGGAGGCCCTGTTTTCGTACCGCAATCATAACCTTCGCCTGCTTTCATTCGGACCAACGAGAATCGTTAGTATAAGGTGAAAGAAATTGTTAATCGATTGTTATAAAATTATTTTATATTAATTTAGCTCGTTAGGTGCAGCGTCCGTCCGCCATCAACTTTTTCCTTTAGACAACATTTTCCTCCATAACCTAGAAGAAGTGTCGCGATAGATAAGTGGTTGTCTGGGAGGAAGGAAGCATATTTCTGCTACAAAAGACTTGGCACTGACCGCCTACAGAAAGGTCCCTACTGGCATCTCTCATTTAAACCAGCAATAGAATAAGTATCTCTTATTTGATACATCATTTGTGATTTCAGACGGTTTCATTTCGAAGATGCATATCCTTATAGGATCGCTGAAATCAGACACAGGAAATTTTCTGACGCTAATAAGATTTTATTTCCTTATAAGATCGTTGAAATTTGACACAGGAAATTTTCTGACGCTAATAAGATTGATTTTCTTATAATTCGCTGAAATCCAATTTCAACTTGAGAAACCATTTTGTACAAAATAATTACTCAAAAGAAGATTTTTAAAAAAAAAATCGCTCAAAATATAAAATGAAAATAAATTCGTTCAAAACAAGATTGATTTGACTAATTAGAGAACGTTGAACGAAGTAAAAATGGATAAGGCTGTTTCCTATAAAATATCAAGATTATCGAGACAAGATGGGTCCATACTGAGGAGGATTACCGAAGTACTAACCTGATCGCTAGCCCTTTGGGCAGTAATTCTAGAGGTGGCATCACGAAGATAGACTGGCACATTGGACGAAAGTTTGGGATTTTTATAAAAATGTAGGGATAAAACAGTATCACGGACACGGACACGTGCATTGAAGGAGATTGGAAGTATCTCTGGAAGCTTGCCACGGGCACTCTCTCTGTCATGGCTTGTTGTGAAAGTAATATTGGTGAAATGAATCTCATTTATCTCTGAAAGAGACAGAAATGAAAAACATTGTGAAATAGACATTTATTTCTCATACTAACACGACAACAATCTGATACACCCATCATGATACAGAGAAGAAATGTACAACGTTGATGAAAAGTGACAAATATATGTAATATTGAATAAGGAACAGGGATAATACCGAATGATGAGAGACAAATGTAGGTAATATTGAATAACGAACACAGACAATACCGAATGATGACAGACAAATGTAGGTAATATTGAATAACGGACAGAGATAATACCGAATGATGACAGACAAATGTAGGTAATATTGAATAACGGACAGAGATAATACCGAATGATGGCAGACAAATATAGGTAATATTGACTAACGGACAGAGATAGTACCGAATGATGACAGACAAATGTAGGCAATATGGAATAACGGACAGAGACAATACCGAATGATGACGGACAAATGTAGGTAATATTGAATAACTGACAGAGACAATACCGAATGATGACAGACAAATGTAGATGATATTGAATAACTGACAGAGACAATACCGAATGATGACAGACAAATGTAGATGATATTGAATAACGGACAGAGACATTACCGAATGATAAAAAGTGACAAATATAGGTAATATTGAATAACGAACAGAGACAATACCGAATGATGACGGACAAATATAGGTAATATTGAATAACGAACAGAGACAATACCGAATGATGACAGACAAATATAGGTAATATTGAATAATGAACAGAGACAATACCGAATGATGAAAAGTGACAAATGTAGGTAATATTGAATAACGGACAGAGACAATACCGAATGATGACGGACAAATATAGGTAATATTGAATAATGAACAGAGACAATACCGAATGATGACGGACAAATATAGGTAATATTGAATAACGAACAGAGACAATACCGAATGATGACGGACAAATATAGGTAATATTGAATAACGAACAGAGACAATACCGAATGATGAAAAGTGACAAATGTAGGTAATATTGAATAACGGACAGACAATACCGAATGATGACGGACAAATATAGGTAATATTGAATAACGGACAGAGACAATACCGAATGATGAAAAGTGACAAATGTAGGTAATACTGAATAACGAACAGAGACAATACCGAATGATGACAGACAAATGTAGGTAATATTGAATAACGGACAGAGACAATACCGAATGATGACAGACGAATATATGTAATATTGAATAACGGACAGAGACAATACCGAATGATGACAGACGAATATATGTAATATTGAATAACGGACAGAGACAATACCGAATGATGACAGACAAATGTAGGTAATATTGAATAACGGACAGAGACAGTACCGAATGATGACGGACAAATATAGGTAATATTGAATAACGAACAGAGACAATACCGAATGATAACAGACAAACGTAGGTAATATTGAATAATGAACAGAGACATTACCGAATGATGACAGACAAATGTAGGTAATATTGAATAACGGACAGAGACAATACCGAATGATGACAGACAAACGTAGGTAATATTGAATAACGGACAAATGTAGGTAATATTGAATAACTGACAGAGACAATACCGAAGAGACATAACGAACAGAGACAATACCGATTGAATACCGAATGATGAAAAGTGACAAATGTAGGTAATATTGAATAACGGACAGAGACAATACCGAATGATGACAGACGAATAAAGATAATATTGAATAACGGACAGAGACAATACCGAATGATGACAGACAAATGTAGATAATATTGAATAACGGACAGAGACAATACCGAATGATGACAGACAAATGTAGATGATATTGAATAACGGACAGAGACAATACCGAATGATGAAAAGTGACAAATGTAGGTAATATTGAATAACGGACAGAGACAATACCGAATGATGAAAAGTGACAAATGTAGGTAATTTTGAATAACTGACAGAGACAATACCGAATGATGACACAAACGTAGGTAATATTGAATAACGGACAGAGACAATACCGAATGATGACAGACAAATATAGGTAATATTGAATAACGGACAGAGACAATACCGAATGATGACAGACAAATGTAGGTAATATTGAATAACGGACAGAGACAATACCGAATGATGACAGACGAATAAAGGTAATATTGAATAACGGACAGAGACAATACCGAATGATGACAGACAAATGTAGATGATATTGAATAACGGACAGAGACAATACCGAATGATGACAGACAAACGTAGGTAATATTGAATAAATGACAGAGACAATACCGAATAATGACAAATATATGTAATATTGAATAACGGACAGAGACAATACCGAATGATGACAGACGAATATTGCTTAAAATATATACAAACCTACGTCATATCGAATAATATTTTAGAAATAGCAGCAAATTGAGGATTTGATTACATGTGACTCTTTACATCGTGACCAACGTAACACCGGAAAGTATGCTCTGCTTTCAAACAATTTATATACTCACTATGATCATGACACATATTGTATTGTTCGTTCGTAGATTTTAAAAAAGCTTTCGACTCGGTCTGGCGTATCGGATTATGGAAAAAAGTCCAGAAAAGTAATATTACCGGGAAAATTTTGAAAGTCATAATAAATTTGTATAACAATAAATCATGTGTCAAACAAGGAAACACTATGTCAGGTCTGTTCAATTGTAATTGAAGGGGAAAATTTATCCCCATTTTTATTTGCAATTTATCTAAATGATTTAGAAGAATTTTTTCTAGAAAATAATATCAGATGTCTCCAATAAATTGTTCCGCCATGTTTTAATATTTGTTGTTTATATGTGACCTCTTGTAACACACTCTGTGTGTCTGAGCGTACAATAAAAAATCTGAAATCTGAAATCTGATTCGCAAATAGTGCTTATATTGTTGTGCGTGTCTATCTGGATGATGATAGACTTAAAATGTAGTGCAATCTGCGTGTAAACCTTGTCAACATGCCGATCTGTTGGATCCAAGCGGGTGTGAGCTCAACAATCAGCCCTAGCTAAAACAGTGGAATAAATCCAGTCAGAGTTTTAATTTCAAACTGAAGATTTGATAAGCCTCTAATCGAATGACAATCTTCTGTGACGGAATGGGAAGCGTGATTGAAGAAAAAAAACAGGAAATTTTGACCATGCGAAGGCTCGGTCTCGTTGCATTTTGTGATCATGTTACTAAGGACCGAGCCATCGCATGGTAAAAATTTCCTGTATTTTTTTCTCCAATCACGCTTCAGAATGTCCTCCACTGCGTGTATGACGTCATTATCTGGTCGAAAGTGGATACCAGAAATGACCTTTTCTACAAAAGTAGATAAAGTCTGATGGAGCGAGATCAGGCGAATAAGGCAGATGTTCAATCAATTCAAATCTACAATCGTTTATGGCAGCCATGGAAATGACAGGCTAGTAAACATGAGCATTGTCCTGGTAGAACAAACACACCTTTACTGAGTTTTACGTGGTGCTTGAGTTAAATATTTTCTCTTAACTTCCTAAAAAGTGATGCATAATATGTGCCATTGATTGATTGTCCCCTTCGTAGGTAATCTGCCATTACAATACCATCAGCATCCCAGAAAACCAAGACCATAACCTTTCCAGCTTTTTGAACAGTCTTTGCCTTCTTTGGCGGGTGTGAACCAGGGTGCTTCCATTATTAAAGCTGTTGTTTGGCCACTGGGGTGAAATGATGCCCACGTTTCATCATTCACCATATCAGTATGGATATCCTTAGGTGCTACACATTTCTTATGTAGATATTGAATCGCTCCTCCTTCAGCGATTTTGTCCATTTTGCAAAAGTCAATTTCCTTGTTTACTTTAGAGAGTTACCTCATCGACAAAAACTGACTAAATGACACCAGTCTTCGGGTACATGCCCTTAAATAGTCAGGAAATAGTAGAAATGAAAAAGGACATCCCTGATTAACTCCTTCAATACAAAGTTTACAACATATCAATCATCCCTCGTAGTCGTTCACATTTGTACATCTATATATATATCGTGAAACATTCACATTTGTACATCTATATATATCGTGAAACATTCACATTTGTACGTCTATATATATCGTGAAACATTCACATTTGTACGTCTATATATATCGTGAAACATTCACATTTGTACGTCTATATATATCGTGAAACATCCACATTTGTACATCTATATATATCGTGAAACATCCACATTTGTACATCTATATATATCGTGAAACATCCACATTTGTACGTCTATATATATCGTGAAACATCCACATTTGTACATCTATATATATCGTGAAACATCCACATTTGTACATCTATATATATCGTGAAACATTCACATTTGTACATCTATACATATCGTGAAACATTCGCATTTGTACATCTATATATATCGCGAAGCATTCACATTTGTACATCTATATATATCGTGAAACATTTACATTTGTACATCTATATATATCGTGAAACATTCACATTTGTACATCTATATATATCGTGAAACATTCCCATTTGTACATCTATATATATCGTGAAACATTCACATTTTAATGTCTATATATATCGTGAAACATTCACATTTGTACATCTATATATATCGTGAAACATTCACATTTGTACATCTATATATATCGTGAAACATTCACATTTGTATGTCTATATATATCATGAAACATTCACATTTGTACATCTATATATATCGTGAAACATTCACATTTGTACGTCTATATATATCGTGAAACATCCACATTTGTACATCTATATATATCGTGAAACATTCACATTTGTACGTCTATATATATCGTGAAACATCCACATTTGTACGTCTATATATATCGTGAAACATTCACATTTGTACGTCTATATATATCGTGAAACATTCACATTTGTGCGTCTATATATATCGTGAAACATTCACATTTGTACATCTATATATATCGTGAAACATTCACATTCGTGCGTCTATATATATCGTGAAACATTCACATTTGTACATCTATATATATC